CATTTTATAGATGACAAAACTGAGGATTGAATTGTTTCCTACCACTCAAAATGTGTTGTCAGACCACCAGCATCAGCATCCCCTGGGAGCTTGTTAAAAATTCAGAGCCTGGGGCCTCCCTGGTGACGCGGGGGTTAAAGTCTCAGCGCTATCAAGTTATTGCCAGCCACTACAGCACCAGTTCAATCCCCGGCCAGGGAGCTACCTACATGGCATAGCAGACTTCTCCTGTCTCACCTGCTGCTCCCCTCAGCAGTGTATTTCAGTGGATCCGCTTGTTCTGTTCCTGACTGTCTATGAGGAATCCTTTCCCCCACCCCTAGCTCTAGCCTGGACCCCAGTTCTTGTACACATAGATAAATAAAAATATTTTCTTTAAATGCAGAACCTCAGGCTTCACCTTAAATCAACTGAAGCAGAATCTGCATTTCAACAAGATTCCTAGGTGATTTATATTCACACTAAATTTTTAAAATCACTAGTGATTTTCCCAAAGCCAAAATATATAAGTAGCTGTGCCTAACTCCAAAGCCTAGGCTCCTTGCTCTACAGCTGCAGCAGAATCAGATTGAATGCACAATGCGAGATAGTAGAAGAGTTTATGTTGTAACAACAGATATCATTTTTCCCATCTGTTGAAGAGTTACCATCATAAAAACCAATTCTATCAGAAAAAAGAAGGTGCTTTGAACACCTAGAATAAAATAAGTTCTAAGATAAGAAGTTTGTCATATTAAACACTTTGAAATTTTAAAACCACTTCAAGTCCCAAATCCTTTATTATATAAGCTTTACATTTGTTGCAGTGAAATCTAAGCTTATTTCTGAGTGATGGTAACAGCTTTGGGCACATTCACATCTCAAACATCTAAGTTTATATGTCCATTCAGACCAGAAAGAGAATCCTACTGCACCTGTCACTCTTAACTTAAATGTGGATAACAAAGGAGAGGCTTTTGTGGAATAGTAATTCTTCTAGACCTGGGCCTAGACCTATAGAAAAAATGAAATCTAAATCACATTCAATTCACATAATTCAGATTCTGAATGGAAGCTCAATTTTTATAAAATCTAAAATTGTCCTTTTTTAACATTTATTTATTTATGCATACAAGAACTGGGGTACAGGTTAGAGGTGCAGGGAGGGCAGGGTGAGAGGATTCACCAGAGGCAGAGTGAGGAACAGAACAGGCAGATTGACTGAAATACACTGCTGAGGGGAGCAGCGGGTGAGGCAGGAGAGGTCTGCCGTGCCATGTGGGTTGCTCCCTGGCCTGGGATCAACTTCCTGCTACAATGGGAACTCGTGCTGAGGTGGCTGCAGGTAGCTTCATAGGTTTTGTCTTAACCCCTTGCACCACCAGGGAGGTCCTAAAATTGTCCTTTTAACATTGTTTCTCACACTGTTCCCCAATGACTTGTATTTTTCAATTTTAGAGGAAATATTATTGGTTTGCTTTGTTTTTTTAGAAAAAAAAAAAAGTTGATGTACTATCTAGTCCTGGTGCTCTGGAGATGAGCCAGAATGTTCTGCTCTGTGGGCTTTAAAGAGCTTTTTTAAGAGTAAAACCATAATATAACTCAGTATCGTAACTGCTCCTAAAGACTGCAAAATCCTCCCCAGAGAACATTGCATACTGTACTCTTCTTGCTTTTCTTTGGAACTTTAGACTATGGACCACTTCAGAAAAAGCTTCATAGATAATTAATGCAGGCCCATTCGCTCACTTAAAAAACTTAGCCTCGATTTTTTGGTTATTTAATTCTCCCAGTAAAATGTATTTGTTTTTAAAGCACCAGTTTTATGAGGACACATTGTACTCCCTGATGCTATGGAGTCCTTTGCATCTTTTCCCAGCTGGCAGACTCTCTATATGACATCCAAGGGATGAGACATTTAGAGCAAGAGATTACATCCACTGATTTGTATTAGCAAATAAATCCTTTGAGTTGGTCTTGCACCAGGCCAGGACACCTTCTGGGGATTTGGGGCTGGGAGACATTGAGTGAGGGCAGTGAAGTAGGTAAATATGATTGAAAGACAAAATGTTTAAGAGCTGTTAAATACGGCACACTGGGCTTTGGTACTACTATCACTAAACTGCATTGCTTTGCACCAATCCTAATACCTTGTTCAAGCCTGTTTTCTCATCTGTAAAATGGGACAAATATCTATCTTTCAGGGTTGTTGTGAGAAGTAAGTGAATAGATACACAGCATTGGCATGTAACAAAAGGTGATTATTATTGTAAGCCAATTTAAATCTTTCTTGAAAAAGAGAACCTGAAGTTTAAAAAAACTTCCCTGGCTGTACCTCTCCTGCCTGCCTGTGGCTATGCAGGTGCTTCTCTTCACCAACCTCCTCCCTTTGCAAAGCAGCAGAGGCAGCTCCCCTCCCATGCCCGCCTGCCTGTGACTATACAGGCCTCTTTTAACAACCCTGTCCCTTTGAGGGGGCAGTTCTTTCTACCTGCTTGTGTCTGTGCAAGCGTCATTTCTTTCCCTTCCCTTTTTATAATAAACCTGCCCTTTTTGAGGGGTGTGTGTGTGTGTGTGTGTGTACGTACATATATATGTATATATAACTTCCAGAACTTTTCCTGGACTTCTCTGTTCTTCGATCCCTCTTTTTACCCTTCCTTCCCCAAACTGACCTGCTATCACTATAGACTTGTTTTCTTTACCTAAAATTTTATAAGAATGAAACCATATAGTATATAGTCTTTTTAGATTGACTTCTTTCACTCAGCATAATTCAGGCATCACCTTTATTGATTGTATCAACAGTTCATTGTCTTTTATTGCTGAGTAGTTTTGCATGGTATAGATACAGTATCATTTGTTTGGCTAGTCACCTGCTGATGGAAACTTGTGTTCATTATCTTTTGGAACTGTAAATAAAGCTTTTTGTCTGTTTGTTTTTGTAAACAAATCTTTATATATTTCCTTTTTTCTTGGGAAAATAAATATCTTGGAGTAAAATGGCTGGATCACAAGTAGATGTATGGTTTACATTTTAAGTAACTACCTGTTTTCAAGTGACTATACCACTTTACATTCCACCAGCCATATTGGAGGGTTCATATTCTTACAAATCCTCTCCAATACTTGGTATAGTCCGTCTTTTTTTTTTTTAAAGATTTATTTTTTTTTATTTATTTATTTATACAAGCACTGGGTACAGTCAGAAGCGTGGGAGGGTGAGAGATTCACCAGAGCCAGAGCAGGGAGCAGAGCAGGGAGCTGAGCAGGCAGAAGGACCGAAGTACACTGCTGAGGGGAGCAGTGGGCAGCAGGAGAGGTCTGCGCGCCATGTGGGACCCTCCTCCAGTGGCCGGGGAGCAGCCGGGGATCGAACCGGTGCTGCAGAGGCTGTGGGCAGCTTCGCAACCCAGCGCTCAACCTCTGCGCCACCGGGGAGGCCCATAGTCAGTCTTTTTAACTATAATCTGATAGGTATGTAGTGGTATCTCATTACAGTTTAAATTTTCATATCCCTAATAAGTAATGACTTTCTCCTAGCATTTTTATAGTTCTAAGTTTTACATTTAGGTATGTATGTGATTCACTTTGAATTAGTTTTTATATATGGGCCCAAGTTCCTAGACAATTAGAGAGACAGAGAGAGAGAGGGAGAGCGAGAGGGAGAGAGAGAGAGAGAATGAATGATAGGTAGAGCTTTAGATAGATGCCTAATTATTCCAGTACCATTTGTTGAAAAGGCTATCCTTTCTCCATTGCATTGCCTTTGCACCAATGTAAAAACTCAATTGTTCATATATGTATGGACTTATTTCAGAACTCTCTATTCTGTTCCATTGTTGTAATTGTCTTCATGCCAATACCACATAGGTTTGTGGTATTGTTTGATTACTATAGCATAATAATTATGATTATAATCAATTAAGTTGGAAAGTAGCCCTCCAACTTACTTATTTTTTAATGTTATTTTAGTTATTCTAGGACTTTGGCATTTCCATATGAATGTTAGAATCATCTTCCCAATTTCTACCCAAGTAGTCTGCGGAGATTTTGATTGGAATTGTGTTGAATCTCTAGATTATTCATTTGGAGTCAATCGACCAATTTGGAGGTAGTTGACTCAGCTGAATAATATTGAGTCTTCCAGCCCATACACAGGTACATCTCTACATTTGTTGACATTTTCTTTATTTCTGTTAGCAATGTTCAGTAAAATCCAGTGGACATATATTTTACATATTTGGTCAGATTTACTTCTAAGTATTTTATATTCTTATACTATTGTAAATAGTATTTTGTTTTTTTGGTATATGGAAATACAACTTTCTGTTTTGATAATTCGTAGGGTAAGGTAAAAAGTATCAGGCTTTTCTGCCCTCCAGCCATTAGGATAGATGATGGATCCCTGCGGTCCTGAATGCATGCCTGATGGCGGCCACCTGGAGTGGGATGTGGGCATTTGTAGATGGGATTCACCTGGGCTAAGACTGGGCTTTTAAGGGCGGTGTCACGGGGACACCAGCAGAAACCAAGAATGAACAGAAGCCAAGAGAAGAAGAGAAGCAGAGAGAATGCCAGTGAGAGCCCAAATAGAGTGAGGATTTGCTGGGGGTTGGGAGGACTGCCAGCACCCCAGCACCCCTGCCTGCCATATGCCTGGTAAATCTAAATAAAAGACCTGCAAAAGCCACTGAGGGCTCCAGACCTCCTCCTTTACCCAGTCCACTGGATCAGAAAACCTGCTCAGTGCTCATTCCTGCCCCTACATAAGTCAATGTATCTTAAATATTTAATGTATAAAATCTGACATGTAGCAAGGATATATAAGTGTTTGACAAGCATCAACAATATATGATAATGAATTAGATGGATTAAACATTCTCACATTTTAGAAAATGCGAGAATATATATAATACATGGTTAATCTGAAAGAAGAGTGAAAGAATAGAGGCAGAAATAACAACAGGGTAAGGGATATCCAAAATATTACTTATCCTGCAATGAATCTGGAACAACCTTCCACCTTCAGCTGAAATGTAAAGCTTCTGGGTCACCACTCCTACCTTTAGTGAAGTCTTCTAAGGGTAATGTTTTAAACTAAGAGAGAAATAGTAGTAGTAGTTTTAGTTGCCTTAACCTTGTCCAAGAGAGTTTCATAAATGCAACCAAATTATGATGCCCAAAGAGAGATTGTGCAAATTAACATTGTATTTTAATCAGTTCAGGCTATTATAACAAGAATAACATAAACTGGGTGACTTAAAAACAAAGAAGTCCAAGATGAAGGTGCCAGCAGACTTGATGTCTAGTAAGGGCCTGCTTCCTTGTTTGCAGATGGCTATTTTCTTGTTGTATCCTCACAAGATGAAGAAGAGAGGACACAAATTCTTGTGTCTTTTTATAAGGTCACTTATTCTATCCTTGAGGGCTCCACCTCAGGACTGAATTACCCCCCAAAGGTCCCAACTTTCATTCCATCACTTTGGGAGTTAGAATTTCAATATATGGATTTGGGGTGAAGGCACATAAACATTTAGTTTATAGCACATGATCTTTCTGATACTACAGAGAGTACTCTAGTACTTCTAGTATTCTACTAGTGTTCTAGTACTTTCTGATGTTTCAATTCCCTAGATGCACTGAATTCACTCAAAAGATATTTATAAAGATGCTATTACTATTGGCATCTCATTAAACAATTTTCAAGTTAAAAATTACCTTTTAGGGCCTCCCCATTGGCACAAGGGGTTAAACACTGCACTATGAAGCAATCCACAGCCTCTGCAGCATGAGTTCGGTCCCCAGCCGGCCAGGGAGAAACTCACATGTTGAGGCAGAGCTCTCCTGGCTTGCCCACTGCTCCCCTCAGCCATGTATTTCAGTCAGTCTGCCTGTTCTCTTCCCCACTCTGTCTCTGGTGAATCCTCTCACCCCCTACATCTCTGGCCCATACCCCAGCTCTTGTATAAAAATAAATAAATCTTTTTTAAAAAATTACCTTTTACTTGGAGGTTTAAGATGATGAACTCACTTCCTCCATTGGACATATGAATAGCTATAATGTAGAACACTCTCCCTGAAAAAGATTTGAGAATTGACTAAGCAGCTCCTCCACAATAAGGGACAAAATAAGTAGGAGAGATAAATACACATTTTTACCACCCTTGAGGCAGAAAGCTGGAAGGAATCTCACAAATACAAATATGTTCCATGAAGAGTAAGTGGATTATGTCCACATCAGACACCCCAATCTCTGAGACATGCATCAGAGACACAGGTCCCCCCCAGTATTTCTAGCATTGAAGACCAATGGCATTAGACGCAAGAGGCACTGAAAAATGTAAAGTTTGCTCTTAAGGAGCAAGCATGTAGATTCACTACCCCTGGGTCCCAGTACAAAAATAGCAATTTGAAAAACCCCTAATTTACTAAACCTAAAGTGTTTTCCAGGAGAGTAAGTGTCGGTTGGAACTCTCTCCAGGGACTGAGGCACTGATGGGCACCATTGTCACACTTATACTCTACTGGAGCCAGACCCACAAGGCACTATTTTAGCATTGCTATCTTGCTAGAGCCAGAGGATATAGCTTACTCACTACCCCGTCAGGCCAGCCTTCCAGGTATCACTGATGCTGCTGGGCTCCCCATACCACACACACAGGCCAATCACCACAAGCTCTCAGGGAACACAGGTCAGGAGACACTATTTTTGACCCTGCCCTTGATCTTGATGCAGCTCACAGGTACCTCCCAGAAAGGAGATTATACACTCACTAGGAATATCACACTTCCTGTTTTCAAAATATACTACAAAGTTATAGTAACTAAAACAGTATGGTACTGAGCCCCTCACCCCCCAAATTAGACACATTAGACCAATAGAACAGAATAGAGAGCACAGAAATAAACTCCTACACAGATGGCCAACTAGTATTTGACAAGGAGGCCAACAATATTTAATGAAGAAAAGATAGTATCTTCAATAACTAGAACAGGGAAAACTAGACAATTACATGCAGGAACAATGAAATTAGGCCCATATCCATTCACAAAAATGAACTGGATTAAAGACTTAAAACAAGACCAGGAGTCAAAAAATTTTCAGGAAAAACGCTCCTCAGCAATGCTCTTGGCATTGGTTTTTTGGATATGACATTAAATACACAGTAACAAGAGTGCCTCTGAAGGGCTAGCATGTTGAACCTATGGGAAGAAAAGCAAGGTTTAATTTTTTTTTAAATACAACATAAAAAATGGCTTCAAAAAGAGCTGTGGTCATCGTGGATAAAGGAGCTGAGATGAAGACTGTCATCTCACTAGATGCCAAAAGAGGAGCTGGAATTAAGGTCACCTTTGTGGGTCTGGCTGGAAAAGACACAGTGTAGTAAAGACAAGATGTTGTCATTTGTCCTGAGGCCAGTATAGAAGATATAAAGCCAGAGGGATGGGCCTCCCCAGTGGCACAGCGGTTGAGCGCTAGGTTGCGAAGCTGCCTGCAGCCTCTGCAGCGCCAGTTCAATCCCCTGCTGCTCCCCGGCCACTGGAGGAGGGTCCCACATGGCACGCAGACCTCTCCTGCCGCCCGCTGCTCCCCTCAGCAGTGTACTTTGGTCCTTCTGCCTGCTCTGCTCCCCACTCTGGCTCTGGTGAATTCTCTCATCCTCCCACGCTTCTGACTGTACCCAGTGCTTGTATAAATAAATAAATAAATATTAAATAAATAAATAAAATAATAATAAAACCAGAGGGACCTAACGACATGGTGGTTCTGCCAAGAGGTAAGCAGGGTGTACAGAATTTATCTGCATCTGCTTCTATGTAAGAGGTGCTGAAGGAACAAGAAACGCTTCGGAGCTAATACCTGCCCAGTCCTACCCTCCATTGGATCAAGAAATGGGCTTTGGAAGCAAAGTTACGACACATCCACTTGCTAAAGACAAATGTGAATGGAAGTCATGACAACTACTCGGAGAGTCACTAGAGGACTACCTGATCCTCACCAGCAAGATCCTAGGACTGGCTTTGAGTTTTCCTTGCAATTTTTGAAGAGTAGAGGTAGAGAAGATGGCTTATCAAGTAAAGGAGCTACTTGCACTTAAAGATTAGAGCAGAAATATTTGATCAGGAGTAAGAAATAGAACATTCTTCTAAAATTATGTACCTTTCAGATGTCTTTCTGATGTAGTTGGTAATGGTAATGCATTATTTATTATCTTCATGGCTTATTAGTAGATAACGAACAATTCAAATGTACCTCTTCCTTAAAAATTACCCCAGAATTAAAGTCCAGAGATAAGAAAAATGCTAACATCCTACACAAACATGATATTGTTCTAAGTTCTGATATTCTGAGTTTGTAGACATAGAAGGAATTGAATGAGTTTGGCAGCTCTTTTATTTTCAACAGATCGCCAGTTTGAAAAACAATCGCTATGTATTGCCCTAAGTCAGCACACTGTTATATCCTTCTTCGGCAGTTTTAGGATTTCGAGCTCCCCAGATCTGCTTAAGTATCTTTCTATTCCAAGCCAGTTTTACTTGGATACCCTATAAATAGAATCTGCGTAGGCATTTTGTGTACATAACTATTTGAAGCACAATGCTGACACCTAGTGTACAGACTGAGCTTCATTTATTGTTTTCCTTTCCTCCCTCCCATGTATAATATCTTAGCAATAGCAAACATTTATTGAGAATGTGCTATGTATTAAGTATTGTACTAATAAGCACTTTAAGCATACTTCTCTTCATCAGCAACAATTATTTATCATCATCCATATTTCACAAAAAAAAAGGTGGGGGGATGTTTAAAGAGCTTAATCAGATTTTATTATTACAGAAGTTAGGATTCAACTGCCGATGTCTAACTGGACCAGTAGTATTCAATCACTCTTTTTGAAGGAATCAAGTAGGATTGCTCTATTAAATTGTTAAATTGGTTCATATATGTTCACTTGGAGTACAGGTTTACACAGACTTCTTTCAAGATTATTTGTGAGAGTTAAGGCAAAAAAAACATGACAAATCTGAGATCTGAAACTTTGCCAAACCCTTGATTTAATTTCTCTCTTACTTTTTTAAAAGGTTGGTTTATTGGTTTGTTGGTTTGTTTGTTTATGCATACAGGAACTGGAGTGTAGGCCAGAGGTACAGGGGATGAGAGGATTCACCAGAGACAGGGTGGGGAGCAGAACAGGTGAATATACTGAAATACACTGCTAAGGGGAGCAGCAGGTGAGACAGGAGAGGTCTGCTGTGCCATATGTGAGTTAGCTCACTGCCAAGACTTAAACCCTAGGCCACCAGGAGACCCTTAATGTCTTTTTAATGGCAGGATGTCAGCCCTTGCTATCTGATTGTCTTCTCATTCTCCCTCTGAAGGCAGAGAAGAATCTCTTCACAGAGACTTCTGGGCAGATTCTGGTGACCTCTGGGCATTTCACAAAGGAGAACTCTTATCCTGTAAGTAATATACACTATAGTGTGTTCTTTGTGGTATTCCACAAAAATATTAATATTTGGCAAGTTTTAATATTTGACATCCTACTTGAATATGTAAATTCACATAGGATTCCCAGACTATCCTCAGAGAGTTCTACCATCCCTCGAGCTACCTTGTTTCTTCTTCAAGATCAAGTACTCCAAGAAGCCAGATCATGTTCCTTTCTCATATTTGAAGGCAAAGGCTTGACATCTAGTGGGTACTCAATAATGTGCTAGATAAATTAAAGTATGAGAATCTGTTATTTCTTTTCTAACATTGTTTTTTGCACCTTCCATTTAAAATATTCAAGTATTTGAGTTCAGTTGCTTAGTACCTGCCTGATGCTAAGACTGCAGTTTTGAGTGTAATTCCCAAATGAGCTGCTGAACTTCTGAGAAAACCTGGTTTCAGGCGTGAAGCTGTCTCACTGCTGTGGCACTCACTGACTGCCTCAAGGGCTCATTCAGGAGGAACTTTTTTCCCTTCCTCCTTTTTTTCAAATCTGATAAGATGCATCAACTGTTTTAACACAGTGGGAATAAAATTGTTAGAGAATTAACAAGCTCACTGTCAAGCATTTCAGTTCGTTTGATCAAGCATAACCTGGCTGCTTCCAGGGCTTCCCTTTTAACTTTCTTGGAATAGTCTGTAATTAAACCTTTGTATTTAAACCTTTGTAATTAAACCTGAAAGGAACCTGTCAAAATACTTTTACCAGTTCTTCTAGTTTTTAATTCCCATTTGCAGTGTCTAGTACACCACCACATTAATATTTGACTCTGAAACCAATTCTTTACAACTATGTATCCCCAAACTGAGCTTTCATTTCCCCCTTTGGAATGAGAGAAGCAAGTACTTCCTAAGTACAGGCGTGGACATCATTTTGAAATGGTTCTCTAAAGACTGACTTGAAACTGGCAGTGTTGTTCTTTTAGACTCTACTGGAAAAATGCCCTCTACTTTGGATGCAGAATGTCCTGCAATCCCTTTCCAGAAAAGATCATAATAATTAGGTTTCATTTGACTAATAACTGTTGTTTTCTTGTTTTAAGGGCCTTTTAAGTAACAAAGTGTTGATTTAATGCCATGTTATTTCTAAAAACGTTGGACAAGTCCAGAGATAGAAATATGGCCTCCATTTACAGCACATCACATTCTATTCTACCACTGACTTACAGACTGTTCCAGGAGAGTAAACTCCTTTGCCTGAAAATTGCTGATACTGAAGTATTGTTTATTTTCTCTCCCACTTTTTTTTTTAAAAGATTTATTTATTTATTTATTTATTTATTTATTTATTTATTTATTTATTTATACAAGCACTGGGTACAGAAGTGCGGGAGGGTGAGAGAATTCACCAGAGCCAGAGTGGGGAGCAGAGCAGGCAGACTGAAATATGCTGCTGAGGGGAGCAGCGGGCAGCAGAAGAGGTCTGCGCACCATGTGGGACCCTCACCTGGTGGCCGGGGATTGAACTGGCGCTGCAGAGGCTGTGGGCAGCCTCGCAACCCAGCGCTCAACCGCTGCGCCACCAAGGAGGCCCTCTCCCACTTTTCATTCTGGATAATCGGGTCTCCAATTAATTCAGTGTATAATCTGATATTAATATCACAGTATATTTTTCATCTAAGATTTTCATTTGGAAGTTCTTTCATTTTCATTTTTGGAAGTTCTAGTTTAGCTTTGTTGTGTGTGTGTTTGTTTTTTTTCCCAAGGATTTATTTTTGTATAGAAGAACAGGGGTGCAAGCCAGAGGAGGTGAGAGGATTTACCAGAGACAGAGTGGGAAGCATACAGGGAGATACACTGAAATACACTGAGGGGAGCAGCAGGTGAAACAGGAAAGATCTGCTGCGCCCTGTGGGTAGCTCCCTGGCCAGGGATTGAACTCAGGCCAATGCATTGGTAGCGCCGACACTTAACTCCTAGGCCACCAGGGAAGCCCCAGTTTGGTCTCTTTTTTATCTCCCACTTCATTGTCCTGTTTTCTTCTATATAGAGTATTATTTATGAGGAGTTTCAATGTCCTTGTCTACTAATTCTATCACCTCTGGGATTTCTGTATCTCCTGTGGATTTCTCCACCTTTGGCTGCTATCTTATTTTTCTGCCTCTTTACATACCTGGTTAAAAAAATATTCCTTTAAATATGCTTAGATTTTATTCTGGTGTGGATATTTAGGGTCAGTTGGATTGAGTCTTGCCCTTAATCTGAGATTCTGAGGATTCTTCCTCAGAAAAATGTCTTTCCACCAGGCGATAGAAACAAACTACTCCTAATTGTGTCAGCTATGGAGGCCATTATGCCTGCTCCTTTGCAGACTTTCTGGTTTCAGATCATTTCCTCTTAAACATGACAGGTTAATACTCACCCACTCAAAGGGAAACTTTTACACACCTCAAGCCTTTTCTCTGTAAAGCAAACTTCTGATCTAGTACGTTGCTCAACAAACTCATTTTGGCTTCCCAAAACTCTGTTCATATATTGGGTTGTTTGGATCCCCTTATTACCGTGAGACAAGGGAACTCTCTCCAGGCTTCAATCCGGTATAATCATACAGCTGAACTGTTGGTTTCCCATCACTTACGGATGCCATTCCTGCAGAGCTGCCCAATGTCTGAAACTGTTGTTACATTTTATTCAGTTTTCTAGCTGAGGTGAAAGAGTAAGTATAATTCCTAGGTCTCTCCTGACTTGAAGAGAATATCAACATAATATAGTTTTGAAGGAAACCTTGGCTAATATAAGGGACCAGAACTTTTCATATATAGTATTTCAAGATGTGTACAGGTTTTGCCTACTATTTTGGTCAGTTATATTTTAGGTCTAGGGATGTGAAAGTACGTTTCCATATAAATTAATAGAAATAGTATTCCCAGACTCCAAAATAACCCACCAAATCATGTCAAATAAAAATATTCTACTTTTGGATAGCAGGGGAAACCTGTAGAAAAAATATTTCAATAACTTCAATAATTTCAAGAAAATATTCCTATAATTTTTATAATATTTATATAATTATAGTTATATAATTATATATTTATATAATTTATATAATACATATAAAAATATTTCAATAACTTCAATAATTTCAAGAACTTACAATTTTGAAACCTGGTGACTACAGTTAATAATATGTGTTCTATACTTGAAAACTGCAATTAGTGTTTTAATGTTCTCACCACAACAATATGTTGATTATGTGAAGGGAATAATGTATTAATTAACCCTATTGTGGCAAACATTTTGCAGTATACACATGTATAAAATCATCCCATTTATTATAAGTCTTACACAATATTATATGTCAATTATATCTCAGTAAAGACACTGGGAGGGGAGAAAGAAAATCACCTATTCAACAATAGGAAAATTATTGAATAGCGATATTTCAAAAAGTTCTAGGATGATAAAAGAAATATTATCTATTGTATTTTCCTCCTCTGTTCCTGGCAGAACTAAAACAAAACAAGTATAATCACAAACTTCTAAAATCCATAACTTAATGGACAAAAGAGGAAATATCTGGGAAAGGTCAGTAAAGACAAGTCATAGAAAATAAATTTAGGAAGAGGGGCCTCCCTGGTGGCCTAGGGGTTAAGCTGGTTAAGGGGTTAAGCTGCAACCTATGAAACTATCCATAGCCACTGCAGCATGAGTTCGATCCCCGACCAGGGAACTACCCACATGGCTCAGCAGACCTCTCCTGACTTGCCCATTGCTCCCCTTAGCAGTGTATTTCAGTCAGTCTGCCTGTTCTGTTCCCCACTCTGTCTCTGGTGAATCCGCTCACCCCCCACGCCTCTGTCCTGTACCCCAGTTCTTGTATGCATAAATAAATAAATATTTTTTAAATAAATAAATAAATTTAGGAAGTTACAAGAGATCATCTGGTTACTTTAGGGTGGGTAGTTGTGGTGAGGAGAAAAATGACATGCCATCAGACCCTCACCCCAGAACATCATTCAGCCTCTGAAATGCCTCTGAAACAAACTTGTCATGGCCAGGAACATATAGACAAGGCCCAGAATTTCCAGGCATCATAAACAGCAAATGTAGTCACAGAAGTGCTGAAGTGCAATTTTGAATGGTTAGAAAAAAGGTTGGAAGAGGTCAGAGAGATGACTAAACAAAGAGTTCTTTAAGAGTTTTCCAGGAATTTAGATCTTATCCCAGGGATAATGAAACAGCATTAAAGAACTAAAACAAAAGAGAAGCAAAATCAAATTTTTCTATTAGGTAATTCTGGGTTAGTATGAATGAGACTGAAGATAGGAAGAGACTTAAGAGAGGAAGACTAGTGAAGGCCATTATGAAAGCCTGTAATATTCAAGCATTAAACAATTATTATATATGGAAGGTACACAAGACTTGGTATTTTCTAAAGAATTGTAGAAAGCAGAAGATATGTTAAAATGACCAGCAGTTGGGAAATACACAATTTTTCCAAAGTAAAAAAAGGGACATTTCCAGACATTTAAGACTCAGAAACCTGATATCAAGCCCTGCTCCTACCAAGAATCATCTTTATAATTTTTAGGACATTCAGGACTAACACATGGGATAATGAAGGTTCCCTTGACCCATGGCTAATATAAACTTAGTCTGCTTAGAAACTGTAAAAAATGATGTACCTTAAATGCTGTAGGCTAGGAAGCCTCCAAGACAACCCCAATCACATCTTGCTTCTTGATATTTAAGATTTGTGTAGTTTCTTTCCCTAGAGTAACCTGCTTTTAACCGACATTGAAAGGGAGTGTCATTTCCATGATTAGACTACAAGAGGTTCTGAATTCTGTCTTCATAGTGCTCCCTCCCTTGCTGGCTTTAACTTAGTTGCTATGTTAAGGAAGCCAGATTGCAACTTTCAGTCAGCAGCTAGTTAAGGACTGAGGCATTTAGTCTGTTACCCAAAAAGAATTCAATCCTGCAAACAACCACAAAAATGAGCTTAGAAGCAGAATTTTCTCCACTCAGGCCTTTGGATGAGCCTCCGATTCTTTTGATACTTTAAAGCCATATAAAACACCCAGGCGGCAGACAACCAACTAAGCTGTACCAAGTCCTTCCTGACCAACAGAAACTATGATAATAAATGTGTGGTTTTAAACCACTACATTTGTTGTAAATTGTTATGCAGGAAAAAGTAATGCATATTAGTTGGAGTACCTTGCACAACACAATGGCTTTCAGACTTAGAACTAAGTTTTCCCAACAAAGAGCAAATTTCTGTAAGCCCAGCTACTCTAGCATTTTCCTGAGAAGACAACTGTTACTGTACTGTCATGGCAACCTGATGAAATGACCTCATTTAGGAAGCACATAGTAAAAGATGAAAGCAGCCAAGATCTAGGACTTCATTATAGCATCATTTTGCCATTATCAAAGGTTGATAAAGAAATAGCCTACAAAAGAGCGCTGTGGGTGATTAAAACAAAGTAGACACTAAAGGAAAAGGATAACTTAGGTCAAGGCATGGTAGTCCAGTGTTTTCAAGTACATGAATATTGTTTGGCAAAGTCAGATTTCCCCTAGAGAGTCAAAAAAGAACAGATCTGAAATCATTCCTGCTTTGAAGTCAAGGTAATAAGAAGAAAGTTGACCTTTCAAAGTCTAAATAGTACAGCCTGGAAATGTTTTGACAGACATGGAGAAAGGATTCCCCACCATTCTGAAGACTGCACAATTCTTCTGACCTCCGCAGTCAAACCATACATATTAATAGAACACTCTACATCACTACTTGAAAAGTCCTGACAATTATACCTCATCCTACAATGAGGAAATCTTTGAGACACATTAAAATTTATTCTCTAATACTTCTCCAATAGAAAGTGATATGGGAGCAAAAGACCTTTGGGAAGAAATGGGAATAAAGAATATTGAAATTCCACATATTTCTTGAAACTTGAAATTGAGGTAACTATACACCTTTAAAGCTATTACTGTCAGAATAACAAGAACATGCTCATATCACTCAACTGTTCAAAATCTTTTTCCTCACATATTAGAACATGGTTGGGGAACTCCGGAACCATATTCTCTATTACCCAGTCAAGCTCAGAGCTTCTAGAATCTGCACATTTCAAAATACCACACAACAATGAAAGGCACAATTGTGAATCCTCTAGCAAAAATATGGAAAGCAGCATTGAGGTTCACAGCCACATGTCCTCTTACTATTGTAGTTAGAGGTAGTGGGTTAGTCAATGTAGTCATGCCAATGCACAGTAGTTTACTACTTTTATTAATGTTATAATCTTTGGTTCTTTAGAAAATAAAATATCTTTTAAAAAGTCCACATATATAAATTTAGTATGGATTTTAAGTTTAAAACAAAATCTCCCTTTTTATACTCACTATAAATTCTGCCAAAAAGGTTAAATTCTGTCAGAAATGTGCTAAGGACAACTTTTGAATGGTAACCACTCAAGTCCCTTAATGTACCCCTTTTAAAATGGCATAAAATACACTATCTAGGATATTAACAGGTGTACTACCACTTAACTGCACTAAATCATCCCCCAGTTAGCTTTAAAAGACTGGACTTTTCACAAATCAAACCACTGCAATCAGAGTTTGCAGAACCAGAACTTGTTTCACTTTTTGAGAAGAAGAGATCTTAAGAATAGAAAAAAAGTAAGGGGGGGAGGAATAATAGAAAAAGGGGATATATACACAAACACTATAAATGAAATTGGGTTCTTTAGGTTTCTTAGTTAGATTCCAGGTTAATTGTTTCAGTTTAGCTCTGTCTCACACAAAGGATAGAACAGGAATTCTCATTTACTACTGAAAATGCAAACTACTACAGTCATTTTGAAAAAGTACTCTTATTATATGATCCAGCAATTACTCTCCTTGGTATTCACCCAAATGACCCAAAAATCCATGTCCACACAAAAACTACAAAGTTTACAGCAGCTTTATTCACAATGCCAAAACCTGGAATCAATCAAGATGCCCTTCAGTAAGTGAATGAATAGATGAACTGTAGCACATCCAGACAATGGATTATTATTTACTGCTCAAAAACATTAGCTATAGAGCCAAAAAGTTACATAGAAGAAATTTAAATGTACATAAGTGAAAGAAGCCTATCTGAAAAGGCTTTTAAAAAAAGGCTACATAGGGCCTCCCCTGTGGCGCAGCGGTTGAGCGCTGGGTTGCGAGGCTGCCTGCAGCCTCTGCAGCGCCGGTTCAATCCCCGGCTGCTCCCTGGCCTCCGGAGGAGGGTCCCGCATGGCGCGCAGACCTCTCCTGCCGCCCGCTGCTCCCCTCAGCAGTGTACTTCGGTCCTTCTGCCTGCTCTGCTCTCCCCTCTGGCTCTGGTGAATTCTCTCGCCCTCCCGCGCTTCTGACTGTACCCAGTGCTTATATAAATAAATAAATAAGTAAATAAATAAAATCTTTAAAAAAAAAATTAATAAAAAAAGGCTACATACTATATGATTCCAACTATATGACATTTTGGAAGTGACAGTTGTTGCCAAGAGTACAGAGGGAGCGAAGAATAGGCAGAGTACTAATCCAGAGCAGTGAAACTATTCTATACTATACGATACGATATGGTACTAATTGCTATAACGGTGGCATGTCATTACACACTTCTCAAAACCCAGATTGTCAAAACCATTGAGTGAGCCCTAAGGTTAACTTAATGTGGACTTTGAGAGTGATAATGATGTGTCAGTAAAAGTTCATTGTGGGAAAGGCTGTGCATGTGGGGGGCGTGGGGATATATGGGCACTCTACTTTCTCTGTGTTTCTATGAAACTAAAAGTGCTCTAAGAATTTTCAAAAATCAAATTAAATTAAAAATTAGATTTCAGGGCCTCCCTGGTGGCGCAGCGGGTTGAGTGCTGCATGGTGAAGCTGTCTGCAGACTCTGCAGCCCGGTTCTATTCCCGGCCAGCCAGGGAGATACCCACATGGCACAGCAGACATCTCCTGTCTCACCCACTGCTCCCCTCAGCAGTGTCTTCGGTCCGTCTGCCTGTTCTGCTCCCCGCTCTGTCTCTGGTGAATTCTCTCATCCTCCCGTACCTCTGGCCTGTACCTCAGTTCTTGTACAAATAAATAAATCTTTTTTAAAATTAAAAAAAAAAAAGTAGGGCCTCCCCGGTAGCGCAGCGGTTGAGCACTGGGTTGCTTAGCTGCCTGCAGCCTCTGCAGCGCCAGTTCGATCCCCGGCCACCGGGCGAGGGTCCCACGTGGCACACAGACTCTCCTGCTCCCCTCTGCAGTGTACTTCGTCAGTCTGCCTGCTCTGCTCTCCCCTCTGGCTCTGGTGAATTCTCTCACCCTCCCGCACTTCTGACTGTACCCAGTGCTTGTATAAATAAATAAAAATCTTTAAAAAAAATTTTTTTTAATTAATTTCAAGGTAGAGGTGATCTGACAAGAGCCTAATTTCTTAAACATCCCACCATGTTCCCTGTCCTTCTAAAGACTTGAGATCACTGAGAATAATCAAAAGAATATCCTGCAAGTTATAAAGACAGTTACACAAAGTGCCAAAGTACCAAACAGGGCATCAGCTACCCACAGATATTGCCACAGTGACAGCAGATACCAGTGTACACAAATTCTGGTAAAGTTAGTAAAAGACAAAGACCTTTATTTATTAGACATATTTAAGGGAATCATCAGAATATACAAGTTCTTTTACTGAATGTCTAGTGTTTGTATGTTGTTTGAACTGTTATGCAGACTATAAACAGTATATTCTGAGACTTCACCTGTTTTAGTCTACAAATTGGCTAAATATTATAAAGTTATTTTCAATTACTAGGTAGTAATATACTCATAAGCTCATTAAATGCTTGCACACAAAAAATCTTTTAAAATGTTGTGACATTTTAAAAGAAATTCTACCAGTATTGCCAAAGAAGAAAAAACTGTTTAAGTACACTGCTATTTAAAAAGCAGAGCTAATAGTTTTTTTAATTTTTTTTTTTATATTTGAAATAGGTTGTTCCCAGTGCTTTTATTTATTTATTTTTATAGAGGCATGTTTTATTTATTTATTTGGGGGGTTTTTTTGTTTATACATGCACTGGGTACAGTCAGAAGTGCGGGAGGGTGAGAGAATTCACCAGAGCCAGAGCAGGGAGCAGAGCAGGCAGAAGGACCGAGGTACACTGCTGAGGGGAGCAGCAGGCGGCAGGAGAGGTCTGCGCGCCATGTGGGACCCTCCTCCCATGGCCGGGGAGCAGCTGGGGATCGAACCGGCGCCGCAGAGGCCGCGGGCAGCTTCGCAACCCAGCGCTCAACCGCTGCGCCACCGGGGAGGCCCCTAATAGTTTTTAAATGATATTATTTTTCTAAGAGTCAGAGCTGCAGATGCCTCGATCTCTATGCCAGATTAAAGAACATCAACTGATTACCAAAAAAAAAAACTGACTTCACCTCAAACATCTTTTAAATTTAATTTTTCTATATCAAAATCATTAAATTCAGTTTCCCCCAAATGTCACTCTGGTTCTCCAGGATCCTAGGTGTTAACAAAAAAAAAAAAAAAAGGTTCTGCATTTTCAAAATATATACATAAAACATCAATTTTCATAGAAATGTACAGAATTTTCACATAATCTCTAAGTATTTAAATAACTTGTATTAATGTGCTACATGGCCTAAAGGCTGTCCAATAAGTTAAAATCTTACAGACACAAATTTCAGATAAACCATGACTTCTTTAAAAACTTTTATTCTTGCTTCCCTTTCCACCTTACAATCATCAAACAAAAGGGGTGTGTGGCACCACTTTTGAGTTTGTAGTCACACCTTGAGCTAAAGAAATGTCTAAAGGCCACTTAATTTTTGAACTCCTAGGGCAGAACCTCACCTAATGCACTCTTGCTGACATTGTCTCTCCTTCATCAAAACCTATCTATGCTATGTGCTGTTATGCTCCTGAAACCCCTGAAGGTTCGGTTAATGACTATAGGAAACTGATGATTGGCTAAA